TCCTCCAGGAACTCTCTTCTACCAAGAAAGGGTGTATGAAGCTTAGAATGGAACTCTGGGGGTACAGGACAATTAGAAGGAGATTCCCCAGATAGAGTCATCAAACAGGAACTGGGCAGATCTTTACATAACTTCTTCTCAGAGTAGTGGCCTGCTTCCTCCACTACTGATGCCGGCTCCATGCTCATCTCAGGGGTGCATGGCACTGCGAAGGTTTCAGTCTCAAGGGTGCATGGAACTGGTACAGGCACAATAAACTGACAAACACTGGGCCTCAGGAAAACCTTGTGGTGGAGGATCTCAGAGACTATCTCAGGGTACAGGACCACAGAGGCTACCTCAAGATGGAGGACCTCAAAGACTATCTGAGGGTGCAGGACCACAGAGGCTACTTTGAGGTGGAGGACATCAGGGACAATCTCAGAGTGCAGGACAACAGATGCTATCTCGAGGTGGAGGACATCAGGGACTATGTCAGGGTGGAGGACCACAGAGGCTACCTCAAGGTGGTGGACATCAGGGACTATCTCAGAGTGCAGGACCCCAAAGACTACTTCTACGTGGAGGATCTCAAAGACTATCTCGGGGTGCAGAACCTCAGAGGCTACCTGGAGGTGGAGGACCTCCGAGACTATCTCAGGGTACAGGACCGCAGAGGCTACCTCAAGGTGGAGGACCTCAGAGACTATCTCAGGGTGTAGGACCTCAGAGGCTACCTCGAGGTGGAGGATCTCAGAGACTATCTCAGGGTGCAGGACCTCAAAGACTACTTCTACGTGGAGGACCTCAGAGACTATCTCAGGGTGCAGGACCTCAATGGCTACCTGGAGGTGGAGGACCACAGAGACTATTTCAGGGTGCAGGACCTCTGTGGCTACCTGGAGGTGGAGGACCTCAGAGACTATCTCAGGGTGCAGAACCTCAGAAGCTACCTGGAGGTGGAGGACCTCAGAGACTATCTCGGGGTGCAGAACCTCAGAAGCTACCTGGAGGTGGAGGACCTCAGAGACTATCTCAGGGTGAATAACCTCAGAGGCTACCTGGAGGTGGAGGACCTCAGAGACTATCTCAGGGTGCAGGACCTCAGAGGCTACCTGGAGGTGGAGGACCACAGTGACTATCTCAGGGTGCAGGACCTCAGAGGCTACCTGGAGGTGGAGGACCTCAGAGACTATCTCAGGGTGAAGAACCTCAGAGGCTACCTGGAGATGGAGGACCTCAGAGACTATCTCAGGGTGAATAACCTCAGAGGCTACCTGGAGGTGGAGGACCTCAGAGACTATCTCAGGGTGAAGAACCTCAGAGGCTACCTGGAGGTGGAGGACCTCAGAGACTATCTCAGGGTGCAGAACCTCAGAGGCTACCTGGAGGTGGAGGACCTCAGAGACTACCTTGTAGTGAAGGACCACAGAGGCTACCTGGAGGTGAAGGACATCAGGAACTATCATGTTGCTATCACTACACGTGTGACCTGTCACCATGCACGACAGAGTGAGATCAGTCATTGAAGATCCATCAGTCACTGTTCTCTCTGTTCAGGTCTGCTGGACTGGATGTCATATCGCCACCTATGGTCAATTTTGTGAAGTCTGTCGCCGTTTCGTGGGTGCACACTATTTTCTTGGGATATGTTTGGTATCTAATAACTCGGTGCAACCTCATCTTTAAAATTTCACTAGAAAATCGGGTCATAGATGGCAGGTGTGTGGCCTAAAATCAACTTTATTGCATTTTTACTGAAAATTTGCACCTGATAATTTGCACTAGAATTGCGTTAATTTAAAAAAAATGGCAACTTCCACCATTTTATTCTTTCAGAAAATATGTTTAGGGGGTTTAACTAACGTCCAGGCCTAAAAAAAATGCGCTTCAATCGAAGCGGAACGCCCAGAAATGCCACGCCCAACACAGGATGGGCTGGCAGGTCAGTGGGGGGCGGGGCTGTCCGAGATCAGAATCATGCGCTGTGAGCGGTATTGGTATACGAGAAGATGGCGGTGGATTGCGGAGAGCGGGTAGCCATTTTCTAGAAGCTCAAGTGATAGGCATGGTGACGGGTGGGAGGAGAAAGTGACAGGGGTGGGCGCGGTTTGTGGTTTGACGTCATCTCAGCGCGCCTGAAGCTCGGGCGCTTTCTTTAAACGTGAGTTGTCTCGGTGTGTGAGCGGAGCGGAGGTGAGTACCGGGTTCGGGGTCTTGTACAGCGGGGATGAGGGGGGCAGGAGCCGCTCTGATCATCACCTGCAGAGGACATTGTGGAAGATGAGGATGATGAGGGAGGCAAGGTTGGCAGGTGGTGAGAGGCAGTGAGGATGGGCAGCAAAGAAGGCAAGAGCGGGAGAAGTTGGGGGGTTAGGTACGGCGAGAGGCAGGGATGTGGGGGTGGTGGGTATGACTGGGGGGAGGTAAGTATGGTAAGAGGCAGGAAGGGGTGGGGAAGGCAGGAATGACAGAAGAAAGAAAGCTGGTGTGGATAGAGGTAGGAGGTGGGTACAGTGGTGCGGGGAGGTGGGCATGGCAGGGTTGAGTGGAGAGGTGGGTGCAGTGAATGGCGGGGGAGTGGGTATGGTGAGAGGCGGGGTTGGGCATGGTGAGAGGCGGGGTTGGGTGGGTACGGCGAGAGGCGGGGTTGGGTGGGGAGGTGGGTATGGTAAGAGGTGGAGGGGAGGTGTGTACAGCGGGGGGAGGTGGGTACGGTGAGAGGCGGGGTTGGGCAGGGAGGTGGGTACGGTGAGAGGCGGGGTTGGGCAGGGAGGTGGGTACGGTGAGAGGCGGGGTTGGGCAGGGAGGTGGGTATGGTGAGAGGTGGGGTTGGGTGGGTACGGCGAGAGGTGGGGAGGTGGGTATGGTAAGAGGTGGAGGGGGGAGGTGTGTACGGCGAGAGAGGCAGATTTGGGGGGGGAGGTGGGTATGGTGGAGGGGAGGTGTGTTTAGCGGGAGGAGGTGTGTACAACTAGAGGTAGGGGAGATGGGTACTGCGAGAGGCGGGGGTTGGAGGGGAGGTGGGTTCAGCAAGAGACGGGGGGTGGAGAGGAGGTGTGTATGGCAGGGAGAGGTGGGTACAAGGAAAGGCGGGGGTGGTTGGGAGATGGGTACGGCAAGAGACAGGGGTTGGGGGGGAGGTGGGTATGGGGAGAGGCAGAGGTGGGGGGGGGAGGTGGTCACGGCGGGAGTGGTGGTGGGTACGGGGAGAGGCAGGGGTGGGGGGGGGAGGTGGGCACGGCGAGAGGTGGGGTGGTGGGTACGGGGAGAGGCAGGGGTGGGGGGGGGAGGTGGGCACGGCGAGAGGCGGGGTGGTGGGTACGGGGGAGGGTATGGGTGGGGGGGGGAGGTGGGTACGGCGAGAGGCAGGAGTGGGGGGGGGGAGGTGGGTATGGCGAGAGGCGGGGTAGTGGGGGGTACGGGGAGAGGCAGGGGTGGGGGGGGGAGGTGGGTACGGCGAGAGGCAGGAGTGGGGGGGGAGGTGGGTATGGCGAGAGGCAGGAGTGGGGGGGGGAGTGGGCACGGTGAGGGGTGGGGGGTATGGGGAGAGGCAGGGGTGGGGGGGTATGGGGAGAGGCAGGGGTGGGGGGGGGGTGGATACAGCGAGAGGCAGGAGTGGGGGGGAGGTGGGTACGGCAAGAGGCGGGGTGGTGGGTACGGGGAGAGGGCAGGGGTGGGGGGGGGAGGTGGGCACGGTGAGAGGCGGGGTGGTGGGTATGGCGAGAGGCAGGAGTGGGGGGGGGGGAGGTGGGCACGGTGAGAGGCGGGGTGGTGGGTACGGCGAGAGGCAGGAGTGGGGGGGGGGGGGAGTGGGCACGGTGAGAGGCAGGGGTGGGGGGGTATGGTGAGAGGCAGGGGTGGGGGGGAGGTGGATACAGCGAGAGGCAGGAGTGGGGGGGAGGTGGGTATGGCGAGCGGAAAGGGGGGTGGGTACGGTGAGAAGCAGGGTGTGGGGGAGGTGGGTACGGTGAGAGGGAGGGGTGTGGGCAGGTTTGGTGGGTGGTAAGAGGCAGGGATGTTGGGAGTTGGGGGGCGGGGGGGGCAGGGATGGCGGGGGTTAGGCGGGGGATGATGGGAGTCGGGGGGGGGGGGGGGGTGACGGGAGGCGGGGGGGGGGGGGTGACGGCAGGACGGAGGACGGAGCCGGCTGTAGAGCACGAAGCAGAGGGCACCCATCATCTTCCATTCATCCTCCTGGAGGCAGCAGATGGTGGGGGAAGGGCTGCCATCATTGCCAGACAACAGGCCACATCCTCAGCTACAAACATACAGTGACTGGGCAGGGTGCAAGGAAGTGTTGGTACAAGTGAGGGCAGCGCGCCCCCTACATGCCTAACTAGCCTGATGAAAGTAATGGAGGGAGTACTAGCAGCCTTGGGGAATGGGGGGCACCCCACAGTCATCCCCCCCCCCCCCCCCCCCCCAACAGCAGGAGAGCTCACATAGGAAGGGTTTGCCTTCCACCAGAGGCTTCTGAACCCAAGAACAAGGCTGTAAAGGGGGAGTCAGGGGAGCAGGCGCAGACCGTAGTATGCAGACAAGCAACCTGGAAAAACAATTGTTTTCAGAAGGAATATGATTGGAGGATTTGTGAGGCTCCTCCCCCTCTGTGCTTGGAATGTATTGTCAGTCATCACAGGCGTTGGACATTATGGAGGACGCAGTACATGTTGTACCTGTAGGATGGATGTAGGAAGGTTTTCATTCTGATAGTCCCTCGCTGACCCCCTTCTATAAAATGCGATGTGCCTGGCCGCCCCTCTTTGTGTGGCCTATCAGGACCAGCAAGCACATTAGAAAGCCCTGATTGCGCTCTCCTTTCAGGTCTGAGCGTTAGAAAGTCATTAAAGCCATTGGGTCCCCATGACGGCTGGGCAGTTGGCACTTTCAGAAGGAGGACTCGGCAGCGGCAGCCTCCATGTTGTATGACGGGTACTCGGTGACTCTCTTCTCTCCACAGATGTGACACCGCCACAAGAAGCTATGACCCCGCCGCACAGCACCAGCCTCCCATATTAATGGACCTCTCTGGACCCGATAACTGTGCACAGGACATGGTACAGCAAAGGGACGAAGACCCCACCCCTCCCACTGCCGTCCCTGCCCCAGCCAAGAGGTGGTGCAGAAAGGAGCCTGTTGTGTCCCTCACCCACACCCCCTTAAAGGGGCTGCCTCAGGTGGATACCACTGCCCCGTCTGAAAGCTCCCTGGTGTCAGACGAGCAGGATACCAAGATGGGACAAGATGAGGGGACAGGTGAGTGACATAAGGGGGGAGAGGGTTGTCAGGAGAGGGTTGTCCTTATACTTTGGGAGGTTCCTGATCATGTGATCACTATGTCAACTATGGTGCAGTAAATACATGTGGCTGAGGGCCTTCTAAGAGTGGTTGTAGCTTACAGAGGCTCTGCAGTATATAGAGGTTAGTGTTTCTGTTTAATACTGTAATTTGATACAATTATAGCATTAAAAAAAAAAAAAAATCTGACCTACACAGTGAGAGACTTTCAGTATTTGATACCAATTACACCACAACTCCTAGTTGATTTGTAAGGACGGGATCTGTAAGGTAGCTGTGTGGGCTTCCAATAGAACTACATGTCCCATAATTCTTTTGTGCTTGGGGTATCAGAAGATTTCAGTTGACCTTTCTTCTGCTCTATCACTGGTCAGAGGGCTGGTCATAGAGGACCTCGCTTGTCTTCTTCTGTCGCCAGGCCTGCGGTGGGTGGAGGACCTCGCTTGTCTTCTGTCTCCGGGCCCCGCGGGAGAGGGCCTCGCTTGTCTTCTGTCGCCGGGCCCCGCGGGGGAGGGCCTCGCTTGCCTTCTGTCGCCGGGCCCCGCGGTGGAGGGCCTCGCTTGCTTGCTTCTGTCGCCGGCCCCCGCTGTGGAGGGCCTCGCTTGCCTTCTGTCACCGGGCCCCCCCGCGGTGGAGGGCCTCGCTTGCCTTCTGTCGCCGGGCCCCGCGGTGGAGGGCCTCGCTTGCCTTCTGTCGCCGGGCCCCGCGGTGGAGGGCCTCGCTTGCCTTCTGTCGCCGGGCCCCGCGGTGGAGGGCCTCGCTTGCCTTCTGTCGCCGGGCCCCGCGGTGGAGGGCCTCGCTTGCCTTCTGTCGCCGGGCCCCGCGGTGGAGGGCCTCGCTTGCCTTCTGTCGCCGGGCCCCGCGGTGGAGGGCCTCGCTTGCCTTCTGTCGCCGGGCCCCGCGGTGGAGGGCCTCGCTTGTCTACTGTCGCTGGCCCCGCGGGAGAGGACCCACTGGCCCTGCAGTAGAGGACTTTGTCCAGGCCCTAATCAGTGTCTCTTCCTGCCTTTAGTTGGCAATGGGCAGGGAATCCAACAAGAACCCAACTCTCTAGGGGTTGGGAGAATGACAATTCGGGAAAGGTGTGTGAAGAGGATCAGCAGTAGAGTGCATGCTGGAAACCAGGGGATGCGCTGGTGTAACCTGTACCATAGCACCATAACCATTCAAGCCATGTATAGAACTAATCCAGAAGAAATGTTTGATTGTGGGGGTTATTTAGGGGGGGTTAACCCAGGTTAAGTTTCACTGATGAAACCTTTAATCCCAAAGAATACAAAATATCCAGTGGACTTTCTGCCTGTTCTCTATCTCTCTGCAGCTCCTTCCCATCCCGATGGCGATGATAAAGCTTCCGTCGGTGAAGGTTTCCCAGCTCCACCTTCTGGTACAGTGCACGGGGGTTCAGCAGAGTGCGGCACTATGGGACAGGCGCCTCCATCTGAGTCTGTCTCTCTGCCTGTGGGTAACGGACCTGCCGCTGATGCCTTTCTCACGCCTCCCGCCAAAGTGCCGAAAAAACGGGGCCGTAAGTCCAAGGCGGAGATGATGGCTATTGCGATGGCGAAAAAATTGGAAGAGGAGAGCAGAGTGGGGGAGTCCGAGCCGGAGAAGGTTGAGGTGACCCCTGGAGGAAGACCCAGGAGGCGGGCGGCTGCAGTGTAAGTCTTTAGAGTCTGTGAATGATAGGGGAGATATGGAGGGGATATATGGAGGGTATACATTTTGTGGCCAGAAAAATAGAAACCCCTGCTCTGTAATACAAGCGGGCCCTCTTTTGCCCCCAAAGTGGTATTGAGACTGCTTGAAGGTAGTTGAAGTGGCAGTTGCATCTGATGGAAGCGTACAAGAGTGGAACAGCAGGCTTGCATGTCGGGGACACGTTTTTTCATGGCTGGCTTTTCAGGAATTCACCTATACTACTGCACAACCACTGGCTCTCATGGATGGCTGCCTCATCTAGATGTGAACCATATGCTACAGGGCATGGCTGTCTTACTGATGGCTGGCTTACCTGGATTTTAAAACTACCCTTTGGTTAGGTGGCATGGCACACATACGTTCTATTGATGGCTAGCTCATCTGGATGCGAGCCCTACACTAGGGCATGATGAATGTCTGCCTTATTGATGGCTGCTTAATTTGAATGTGAACCCCTACACTTCAGCAGAGCCAAAGTCCATGGCATTGATGGTTGCCTCATCTAGATGTGAACCCTACACTATGGTACACCCAAAGTCTGTCCTATTAAAGCAAAGCTTTAATTTTAAAAATGCAGGGGAGACAAACTATGCCTCTCTTCTGCATTATAGTCCCTTGCTTGCCTGCACTGTGCGCTGAGCTACGCATCTGCTGAGACAAACTCCTGCGCATGCGTGGGAGTAGCACCATCTTGGCCCAGCTAATCAAAATGACTGGAGAATGGAACCCAGAAGAAAACCAATCAAAGATTTCAGCAACTGCTGAGGGAGCTTCTGGGACAAGGCAACACTGGAGTGGAGGTGAGTATAGTTATCGTAATGGCTGCCTTATCTGGATGTGACCCTTACACCACAGAAGGAGATGATTTAAAACTTCTATTTTTTTTTATTTTTTTTTTATTTTAATGTTTGCCTCATTTGTTTGTGAACCTTACACTACGGCATGACCAAAGTCCATCTTGCTGATGGCTGCCTCATCTGGATGTGAACCCTACACTATGCATGGCCAACATCTGTCTTGTTGATGGCTGCCTCAGCTGATTGTGAACCCTACATTATGGCATGGCCGACATCCGTCTTATTGATGGCAGCCTCATCTTGAATTGAACCCCACACTATGGCATGGACAACATCTGTCTTATTGATGGCTGCCTCATATTGATGTGAACCCCACACTACAGCATGACCAACATCTGTCTTATTGGCTGGCACATCTGGATGTGAAGCCTACACAGCAGCACACCTAATGTAAACCCTACACTATGGCAAGGCCAACATCCGTATTATTTATGGATGCCTCATCTGGACATCTGTCTTATTGGCTGCCTTTTCTCAATATGGATGTGAATCCTACACTACAGCATGGCCGACATCCATCTTATTGATGGCTGTCTCATCTGAATGAGAACCCCACACTACAGCATGGCCAACATCTGCCTTATTGATGGCTGCCTCAGCTGATTGTGAACCCTACACTATGGCATAGCCGACATCCGTCTTATTGATGGCAGCCTCATATTGATGTGAACCCCACACTATGGCATGGACAACATCTGTCTTATTGATGGCAGCCTCATCTTGATGTGAACCCCACACTATGGCATGGACAACATCTGTCTTATTGATGGCAGCCTCATCTTGATGTGAACCCCACACTATGGCATGGACAACATCTGTCTTATTGATGGCTGCCTCATCTTGATGTGAACACCACACTATGGCATGGACAACATCTGTCTTATTGATGGCAGCCTCATCTTGATGTGAACCCCACACTATGGCATGGACAACATCTGTCTTATTGATGGCAGCCTCATCTTGATGTGAACCCCACACTATGGCATGGACAACATCTGTCTTATTGATGGCAGCCTCATATTGATGTGAACCCCACACTATGGCATGGACGACATCTGTCTTATTGATGGCAGCCTCATATTGATGTGAACCCCACACTATGGCATGGACAACATCTGTCTTATTGATGGCTGCCTCATCTTGATGTGAACCCCACACTATGGCATGGACAATATCTGTCTTATTGATGGCTGTCTCAGCTGATTGTGAACCCTACATTATGGCATAGCCGACATCCGTCTTATTGATGGCAGCCTCATCTTGATGTGAACCCCACACTATGGCATGGCCAACATCCGTCTTATTGATGGCAGCCTCATCTTGATGTGAACCCCACACTATGGCATTGACATCTGTCTTATTTATGTCAGCCTCATATTGATGTGAACCCTACACTACGGCATGGACAACATCTGTCTTATTGATGGCTGCCTCAGATTGATGTGAACCCCACACTATGGCATGGACGACATCTGTCTTATTGATGGCAGCCTCATATTGATGTGAACCCCACACTATGGCATGGACGACATCTGTCTTATTGATGGCAGCCTCATATTGATGTGAACCCCACACTATGGCATGGACAACATCTGTCTTATTGATGGCTGCCTCATCTTGATGTGAACCCCACACTATGGCATGGACAATATCTGTCTTATTGATGGCTGTCTCAGCTGATTGTGAACCCTACATTATGGCATAGCCGACATCCGTCTTATTGATGGCAGCCTCATCTTGATGTGAACCCCACACTATGGCATGGCCAACATCCGTCTTATTGATGGCAGCCTCATCTTGATGTGAACCCCACACTATGGCATTGACATCTGTCTTATTTATGTCAGCCTCATATTGATGTGAACCCTACACTACGGCATGGACAACATCTGTCTTATTGATGGCTGCCTCAGATTGATGTGAACCCTACACTACAGCATGGCCAACATCTGTCTTATTGATGGCTGCCTCATCTGAATGTGAACTTTACACTACGGCATGGCCAACACCTGTCTTATTGGCTGCCTCATCTGGATGTGAAGCCTACACAGCAGCACACCTAATGTAAACCCTACACTATGGCAAGGCCAACGTCCATATTACTTATGGATTCCTCAGCTGGATGTCTGTCTTATTGGCTGCCTTTTCTCAATGTGGACCCTACACTATGACAAAACCAATGGCTGTCTTATTGATGATTGACCAATTTGGATATAAACCCTCCACTACAGCATGGCCAACATTTTTAGCCCCTTGTTAGGTTAATTTGAGGAAGTAATCGGGACCCTCAAGGTCCTACAGGGAGTAGTCAAGTACTCTGAACTTGGTATTAAAGTGGTTGTAGAGGATTATTATTTATGCAGTCATTGGCAAAAATATTGGACAGAGATAAAAAAAAAAAAATTCTATCCCTAAATTGTACCCACTGTGTATGTATATAACAATGGTATTGCACAGAGCAATACCAACCTCTTTTTGGAGTCCCCCACTGGTGCTTTCCTCTACTTCTTCCTACAAGTGCCCCATGAGCAAACTGTGCGGGTGCTGTCCCAAGCCATGGTGTTTGCGACCATAAACGCCCACAGCCCAGCTTGGGCATGCCTCACTCCTCCACTGGATTTTACTGACAGGAAAGGAACCTATAGCAAAGGAGGAGCCATGCTGTAAGGCGGGTCAGTGTTGCATTGGTGGAAGAGTCAGGTCAAGAGTGGGGTGGCATTTTTTTTTTTTTATCCCCCTGTTCTTTCTAAGCATTTTTTAAAAAAATGCTTAGCTTAGTGTGTGTGTGTGTGTGTGTGTGTGTGTGTGTGTGTAGAAAAAAGGATAGATAGATAGAGAGATATATATATATATATATAAGGATAGATATATAGATATATATATATATATATATATATATATATATATATATATATATAATCCTTTTTTTCTTTTTTTTTCCTCTCTCTCCTGATATTGGTGCTGGGGTGTGAGTTGTCATGGTACATTGGTGTTTCAGGAAGATCACCATCACTCTTCTCTTTTCCCTGCAGTGCTCTTCGCTACCTCCATGAAATTGCAGAAGAATTGTCAGTGCCAGGGCGAACATCTCCCACCGTTCCAGGGAGCCCTGTGCCAGAAGAGAAGACCAGTCCAGAGAAGACGCCAAAGCCACCACAGTCCGGGAAGAAGAGGGGCAGGAAGAGGAAATCCCATGATTCGGATGATGGCGATGCAGACTTTGTGGTATCGGAAGCCTTGCTACGGGAAGAGGAGGAGGAGAGAGAGGATCTTGAGGATGACTGCCTGAGCGACGAGGCTGATAGTGACCTCCGATCCTACAACACAAACGTCTTTGCCTTTGGAGAGGTGAGTGGTCTCACCAAGTCTGTGCAGACTGCCCCATCCTATTTCTTCACTTGTACCATCCCGTCAGTGGAGAACCTCTTCTGAGTTTTTCAGATTTATATTGAGCAACCACCTGAAGTGGATGCAGAATGATGCGGTTTTAGAAAGCGTCACCTAATATGGTTGCATGAAGTGTTGCATAGGGTGGAAAAAAAGACGTGCCTATCTAATTAAAAAAACAAAATAATAATCAACTTGTATCCACAAAACCTTAAATCTGCAGTTGCTCAAGAGGAAGGAAAAAAAAATCCAGGGTTAAGTATGGTCCAGTTTGTGTTTAACAGAGAGCATAATTCCTTCCTGATGCCCTTAAGGCAGGAGTGTCAAACTGGCGGCCCTCCAGCTGTTGCCAAACTACAAGTCTCATGAGGCATTGCAAGATTGACAGTTACAAGCATGACTCCCAAAGGCAGAAGCATGATGGGACTTGTAGTTTTGCAACAGCTGGAGGGCCGCCAGTTTTGACACCCCTGCCTTAAGGCAATCAGAGCATCCCTGGATTACCAGATCAGTGTTTTATTATAAAGAACGATAGCACATTTTATTCTGTGCATTTGGAAAAACATCCAGACCCAAGGTGATCATATCCCTCCCATTAGTCATCTTCCAGGAATTCAGCCACTTTGTAAAAAGTGAAGGCACACTGAGTTAAGTCCAAGGAGGTGCATGACACCACCTGGCTTTCTTTATTTATATCTGACAGGTTTATTGCTCTGCCATAAAGACACTTGGGAATCTGAGAAGCACAAAGTGCGGCTATGTCTGCTCCTCCCTTCTGCTGCCCATTTACAGAAACCTTTATCTTTCTGTGAATGTGTGTTCACGTAATTCCAAGGCTTCTGTGATTGGGTAGGAGCAGCTGCAGCGACTCTACTGTTGAAGATGCAGAGATCTTCTTCCGGGAGTATTAATACACCTGTCCGATATAAATAGGGGTCAGTCCGGGAGGTTTCATGCTCCTCTGTGGACTAAAATTATAGTGTGCCACCTTTTTCCTCTTCTTCCTCTTCCTCCTCTTCCTCCTCCTTCTTCCTCTTCCTCCTCTTCCTCCTCCTTCTTCCTCTTCCTCCTCTTCCTCCTCCTTCTTCCTCTTCCTCCTCTTCCTCCTCCTTCTTCCTCTTCCTCCTCCTTCTTCCTCTTCCTCCTCCTTCTTCCTCTTCCTCTTCCTCCTCCTTCCCTCTTCCTTCCTTCTTCTTCTTCCTCTTCCTTCCTTCTTCTTCTTCCTCTCCTTCTCTTCCTCCTTCTTCCTCCTTCTTCTCCTCTTCCTCCTTCTTCCTCCTCTTCCTCCTCTTCCTCCTTCTTCCTCCTCTTCCTCCTTCTTCCTCCTCTTCCTCCTTCTTCCTCCTCTTCCTCCTTCTTCCTCCTCTTCCTCTTCTTCCTCCTCTTCCTCCTTCTTCCTCCTCTTCCTCCTCCTTCCTTCTTCCTCTTCCTTCCTTCTTCCTCCCTCCTCCTCCTCCTCCCTCCTCTTCCTCTTCCTCTTCGAATTAAGCTTTAATGGGAGAATGATCTCAGTTATACTAATCCTTCATCATAGCTGACCTCATCCACGCCTTAGTTGCCCCTCCCTACACTCTGTTCAGTACCACAACATGTTTTTCTTTCTCCTCCATTGAGAAACACCAGAATGGACCCTGCCAAGCAAAAAAAATTATGTAGGCCAACCAGGATAATCCCCCCTCTACCCAGGCTGCTGGCGGACAATATGCTGTTTTAAGATTGTGTGGGGTTTTTTTTTTTTTTTTTTTTTCCCTTTCAGATAAAAGCCGAATTCCAGGAATTCAGCTGCTTTGTAAAAAGTGAAATCACACTGCGTAAAGTCCAAAGAGATGCATGACATCTCCTTCTTCTGTATTTTTTTTTTTTATATCTTGCCAGGTTTAAGGCTCTGATGGAGGACAAGATGTGACCCTCGGGGCTGCCTGAGAGGCACACAGAGTAGAAATGCCTGCCCCTCCCCTTTTGCTGCCCATTCAGGAAAGCCTTTTTGTTTTGTGAATGAGTTCACATGATACAAAGGCTTATGTGATTGGGCAAGCGGTGAGGAGGGTGGGCATAGCAGTTGTCACGACTCTACTGTTGAAGATGCCAGGCTTTGGGAGTTGCAGCGATAGCCGTCTGCCGGGAGTACCATAAAAGTGTCAGATGTAAATAATGGAGAAGCCCAGGAGGTGTCATGCACCTCATTGGACTTGACTAATAGCGTGCCTTCACTTTTTTTTTTTTTTTTTTTTTAACAAAGAAATTGAATTTCTGGAATTCAGCTTTGATTCTTGCTCTACTGCTGATTGAGCTGGTCTGTGCAGGGTAGCTATCCCTGTCGGCCTTTTATTATTCCAGCCTAGCTTTGGAAATCCATACCCAGACCCTGCTGCACTGAACGTATGGGGCTATCCTGGAAGTGATCTTAGGGCACAGAGTTCTGTGATGCTTTCCAGACATCAAGTACTGCTAAAGGTTGGCTGCGGACCCCTTTCCAGGTCCAGATCCATTTGGTATAGCCTCAGCTCTGCCCCGTCTCTAAAATTATTATTCACACAGGATTTCTATAGCGCCAACAGTTTACGCAGCGCTTTACAACATAAGGGCAGACAGTACAATTACAATACAAATGAACACCGGAGGATTCAGAGGGCTCTTCTTGTCAGAGCTTACAATATTAGAGATTCATGTATATCCAAATAAAATGGTGCAGCGCTAAATGATGATACACGATTATACACACAATATATGCTATTTCAAACTTATGCAAATAGGTGATGTCACTCTGAAGGTGATCATTGAATATTTAAATTTGCTTTCAATGTGATGATGTGGATCATATAGAGATCACAATTCCAGGCCAATGAGTGGACGTTCTGATAATTTGAACCGGGAGTGATAATTGGTGCAAACCACACAAATGGGTGAAAAACGCACTCACCAGATGTGCGTTTAAGATACGCAATAAATAATCCTGCAATATCACCAGGCCATAGATCGGTCATCAGATCTCGGATCGGGTTACCCACGGATCACCATCCAGGTTCCACAGAAACAAGGTCATCAGAAAACCGCTACCAGGTATCACCACCAGGGTCATGATTCCTCCAGATGGGCACTGGGTCGAATGATAGCACTCACACAGAGTGCCCAATAAGAGACCACATAGCGTGATACTGCTTAAGGTGCCTTTATTCAAGTATGGTGGGTGTATAGTACATAACAAAAAGAATTCCAAAAGTTATTGACCATAAATTCCAAGGTGTCCACCTGCGGTGGTTCGATGTCCTGTTGCTGCAGCCCCTGACGCGTTTCGTGTTAATTAACAAATCTAAATAGCACCAGTACAGATGTCCAGGCTGCAAGCCCTTATCCCTATGACTACGTGCATCGCACGAAACGCGTCAGAGGGGCTGCAGCAACAGGACATCTAACCACCGCAGGTGGACACCTTGGAATTTATGGTCAATAACTTTTGGAATGCTTTTTGTTATGTACTATACACCCACCATACTTGAATAAAGGCACCTTAAGCAGTATCACGCTATGTGGTCTCTTATTGGGCACTCTGTGTGAGTGCTATCATTCGCAGTGCCCATCTGGAGGAATCATGACCCTGGTGGTGATACCTGGTAGCGGTTTCTGGTGACCTTGTTTCTGTGAAACCTGGATGGTAACCCGATCCGAGATCTGATGACCAATCGATGGCCTGGTGACGCAGGATTATTTATTGCGTATCTTAAACGCACATCTGGTGAGTGCGTTTTTTTTCACCCATTTGTGTGGTTTGCACCAATTATCACTCCCGGATCAGGACGTCCACTCACCTGGAATTGTGATCTCTATATGATCCACATCATCACATTGAACTAATTTAAATATTCAATGATCACCTTCAGAGTGACATCACCTATTCGCATAAGTTTGAAATGGCATATATTGTGTGTATTAATCGTGTATCATCATTTAGCGCTGCACCATTTTATGTGGATATACATGTACTATTGGAGGTTTTTCTTGGTTACCTTTTTTGGTGTATCAGCAGCTTATTAGCGTGCGTGTGCGTGCGTGCGTGTGTGTGTAATATACTTTTAATTTTTTTGTCTTAAGGTAGCACTCACTAAATACCCTTTACTACAATATAAGAGATTCACTTTGAGTAGGGCCAAGCGTTGGCAGCTGTCTCGTTATTTGCATCATTTTGGCGTCCTTTTGTAGTTCCCTGTACCGTAGGTTGATGCTGAAGGACTGAGCGCAAAACTCATCCACTGGGTGGATGAACTGCAGTCTTCTGCCATCCCCTCAAGATTTACAAGCGGCCCTTTTGATGCCATGCGCAATACCTTGCCTGTGAAGGATCAATCTCCTGTCCCCAGCGTTGGGTCTTTCAGACATTTTACAGCTGCAAAGGCTTTTATCCACTGCACTTATGGCATTCCTCTTTGCGTTCTGGAATGACCTTGAAGGGTTCTAGGCCCCACCTTTTTAGAGAGTGTTGGAACTGTTGCCCTTTTGAGAAGGAAACTGTTTAAAAAGTTGGTCTATACCCATTTCAAATGGGAAACCACCAGACCAACAGAGGGGACTTATCTCATGTTCCAGTTTTCTGTGGCAGGTTCTGTCCTTTGCTGGCTGTGACCATAATACAGTGGAGGAAACAAGTATTTGATCCCCTGCTGATTTTGAATGTTTGCCCACTCACAAAGAAATGATCGGTCTAAAAATCGAATGTTCGGTGTATTGTAACACTGAAAGACAGAAAAGCATTAAAAAATGCAAAAGAAATGCATGTCTAACAAATGATGACTGATCTGCATGTTCATGAGGGAAATACGTATTTGATCCCCTATCATTCAGCAGGATTTCTGGCTACCAGGTGTCTTTCATACAGGTAACAAGCTAGGATTAGAAGCAGTCTCTTAACAGGGAGTGCTGCTAATCTCATTTTGTTACCTGAATAAAACACACCTGTCCACAGGAGCAATCAAACAATCAGATTCCAAACTCTCCACCATGGCAAAGACCAAAGAGCTGTCCAAGGATGTCAGACTGTAGACCTACACAAGGCTGGGCTGGGCTACAAAACTATCACCAAGCAGCTTGGTGAGAAGGTGACCACAGTTGGTGCAATCATTCGCAAATGGAAGAAACACAAAACAACTATCAGTCTCCCTAGGTCTGGTGCACCATGCAAGATCTCACCTCGTGGAGTGCCAATGATGAGAACAGTGAGGAATCATCCCAGAACTACACGGGAGGATCTTGTCAATGATCTCCAGGCAGCTGGGACCACAGTCACCAAGAAAACAATTGGTAACACACTACGCCGACAAGGATTGAAATCCTGCAGTGCCCGCAAGGTCCCTCTGCTCAGGAAAGCACATGTCCAGGCCTGTCTGATGTTTGCCACTGAACATCTGAATGATGCAGAGGAGGACTGGTTGAAAGTGTTGTGGTCAGATGACACCAAAATCCAGCTCTTTTGCATCAACTGAACTTGACCTGTTTGGAGGAGGAGGAATGCTGCCTATGACCCCAAGAACACCATCCCAACTGTCAAACATGGTGGTGGAAACATTCTGCTTTGGGGTTGTTTTTCTACTAAGGAGACAGGACTACTGCACCGCATCAAAGGGACGATAGACAGGGCAATGTACCGTCAAATCTTGGGTGAGAACCTTCTTCCCTCAGCCAGGCATTGAAAATGGGTCGTGGATGGGTGTTCAAGCATGACAATGACTCAAAACACACGGCCAAGGCAACAAAGGAGTGGCTCAAGAAGAAGCACATTAAGGTCCTGGAGTGGCCTAGCCAGTCTCCAGACCTTATCCGATTGAAAATCTGTGGAGGGAGCTGAAAGTTCGAGTTGCCAAATGTCAGCAACCAAACCTTAATGACTTGGAGAGGATCTGCCAAGAGGAGTGGGCCAAAATCCCTCCTGAGATGTGTGCAAACCTGGTGGCCAACTCCAGGAAACGTCTGACCTCTGTGATTGCCAACAAGGGATTTGCCACCAAGTACTAAGTCATGTTTTGTGAAGGGGATCAAATACTTATTTCCCTCATGAACATGCAGATCAGTCATCATTTGTTAGACATGCATTTCTGCTGAATTTTTTGTTGCTATTCTGTCTCAGTGTTACAATACACCGAACATTCAATTTTTAGACCGATCATTTCTTTGTGAGAGGGCAAACATTCAAAATCAGCAGGGGAGCAAATACTTATTTCCTTCACTGTATGTCAAATCGTGGTGTTAGATCCCACCAAAAAAGGATCTCTTCACTGCCTCAAAGTACCACCAAGCTTACTAAGCCAGGTTTTCAAACAGCCCTTAAGGTGGGATGCCTGCCGAACCCTCTGGGAATCCTTCAGCATGTGTTGTGTGTGTTCCTACTTTTCAAAGTAGGGGTGGAGGGGGTTGCTAATCCAGAGAGCACCCATTCAGGCTAATGCCTGGCTTTTGGCCCCCCTAAGTGACCAGGTCCAAATTGGGCCCAAAGTGTCAATATTTTGTGTTATTTTCCAGCACTGCCTTAACCCTCTTGGGCATGGAGTTCACCAGAGCTTCACAGGTTGTCACTGGAGTCCTCTTCCCCTCCTCCATGATGACATCACAGAGCTGGTGGATGTTAGAGACCTTGCGCTCCTCCACCTTCCGTTTTGAGAATACCCCATAGATGCTCAATAGGGTTTAGGTCTGGAGACATGCTTGGCCAGTCCATCACCTTTACCCTCAGCTTCTTTAGCAAGGCAGTGGTGGTCTTGGAGGTGTGTTTGGGGTCGTTATGTTGGAATACTGCCCTGTGGCCCAGTCTCCAAAGGGAGGGGGATCATGCTCTGCTTCAGTATGTCATAGTACATGTTGGCATTCATGGTTCCCTCAATGAACTGTATCTCCCCAGTGCCGGCAGCACCCATGCAGCCCCAGACCATGACGCTCCCACCACTATGCTTGACTGTAAGCAAGACACTACGTCACATTGTAGCAAAGTGTCATTTCTTCAGTCCTGTCACATGAAAAGATAGAATAAGTTATTTACAAAAATGTCAAGGGTGGACTCACTTTTGTGAGATACTGTACAAGTTAGAACAAAGGGCAACCAAAGTTGGATCCAGGTGACTTGGTAGATCAGGGAGGCCCTCTGGGGAGGTGGAGGGATGACACAGAGTGGTACTGGGCACCGCTGATGAAATTATATGCCCCAAAAGAAGCCCTCAAGGGGTGTACAATCTACAGTCCCTAACTCACATTCATACATACACATACTAGGGCCAATTTTGACAGGATCCAATTAACCTACCAGCATGTCTTAGGAGTGTGGGAGAAAACTGGAGTACCCGGAGGAAACCCACACAGGCACAGGGAGAATATGCAAACTCCTGGCAGGGGGTGCTGTGGTTGGGATTCGAAACAACGACCGTAGTACTGCCAGGTGGAAGTGCTAACCATTTAGCCACTGTGCTGCCACTGTTCCTGCTATACTCATTGTGGAAGACTGCGACAACCCTCTGGGGAAAAAGAGAACAGTTTTTATGGTGGCCCTAGAGGACAATATCCCCTCAAAGGGCTAATGCCTGTAAGATCTCCCTGGGTCAGGGTTCAGTGTTGGTATTCTTTTTTCACCCATAGGCAACATACATCAATTTCATTTCTTACTGGATTGGTCAACAGCATGATTGCCCTCTGGCCCCTCGTCTTTAGACAGGAGTTACCTTTCTCTTCTCATTTGCAGAAGCCTTTGGTGTTGAGGGCCGCCTTCTTAGAGGTGCCTCATTTTTTCTGTCCTCTTCTCAGTCTATCTCCGCCCCTTTTTATGGCACTAGTTTCCAAGTACCAAGGAGTCTGTCTCTGAGGACCAGCTAGTTTGTGGCACCTTCTCATCTGGTAGATGCTACAAAACTTTTTCCCTGTCAGGAGGGCTCCTCTTGTTGGAGAATTATTCTATTGGGGCTGAATTCTCGTATCCCAGGACAGGGAATTCCTGTTATTGGTTTGGTTCCACCTTCTGTGTTTATTTCTTACTAGCTGGTGACCATTTCATCTTGGTCTGGGGCAGCAGGTTGATTCTCTGTGTCCTCCCTCTGGTCATGTTGGGAGGTTCCTGCATCTGATACGGTTTTAGCCTCATCCAGCTTCAGTTTAGGCATTGGTCCTTCAGATGGCTCTTTTGGGTGTAAGGTCCCAGCTCTGTTTTCTGTAGCTGCCCATGCCTCAGTTTGACTGTCTCTGGTGGATGTCCCAGCAGTATATGATCCATGTGTCTCTTGCTGGACTACCGTGTGTCTACCAGAACACCTACATCCAGAACCATAACACCCAAATCCTTCTCCAGTATTGACTCACCTAGTTGACTGTTTACTGTATGCTTGTTTTTTTGTGACCCCAAGTGAATAACATTACATTTGCCAACATGAAATCTTATTTGCAATATATTTGCTCGATCATTTTGGTGTGCCTCGGGTTCTGACTGATGAGTAATACATTGGAGGCGGATATAGAGATGGCCTGTAGGGGGCACTATACGTCCTTCATATCTTTAACAGCACATTGTCTCTCTCCCACAGAAGCCCTATCCTCAGATGAAAGGTGTTGCAGAGAACGGCTTCCATAATTCCATCATGACCCCCATCTACAAGTCTGCAGAAATCACAATGGATTTGTAAGTGTTGTCACCTGACCCCCCTTCCTGTGTTCATGTAAAAGGTCTTGGGTACTATCCCGGAGGTGCCATGACTACCAGAATGGACGGCCATCGTGGACCGTGACTGTAGAAATCTTCCCCACCTATCAGCCAGCACCGGGTCCCTAGTTACACCACAGTGTCTCTATACAGTGCAGTCCAACTGCCGTTTTGTAAAATACTAACCTTTTTTATAGTGACAGATATACAGGGAGCCAGCTTAAATGGTCCTATGTCCCCACTATTGAGGGATCCAGAACGTTCCAATGTGTCCTGCCTTGGGATCCTTCTATTACCCCTAAAGTGACCACACTTTACAAAGGAGACCTGCTTTAAAGTCATTTTCTGGCTGGCGGGGCAGAGCGCTGGGGGGGGATTTTTGTGTTTTGTGTAAATTGCACCTCCAATATTTTAAACTGATCTGCTGCTGATTTTAATGAATAATTATTGTCTTTCAAGTGAATAAGTCCATTGAAGGACATAGGAAGTGTATTACTAGAAAACCTGGCTGATCCTGCTGTTGTAATTTTTTTTTTTTTTTTTTTTTTTTTCTCCTGTGCTTTCTGGGGTAGAATAACTATTTGGGATCTTCTAGACCCCAGATGTCTCCATAAAATGGAGCTGTCATGCTTTGTTTCTGTCACAAGGGATGTTTACATTTCTTGCGATTAGGAATAAAAGTGATTTTTTTTTTTTTTTTTTTTTAAAGATCAATTTAAAGGGACAGTATAAAACCAAAAGAAAAAAAATGTAAAGCACCCCCCCCCCCCCCCCAATGCATATGTAGGTTATGTCCACATATTTAAAGGCGTCGATGCAAATCATTCTAGCAAGGGCAATCATTCTGGCACTAGACCTCCTGTAATGCTATAATCTGATAACCTGTAAAAAAATTTTTTTAAAGCATTGCCTATGGGGATTTTTAAATATTGTAGTTTTGCGCCATCCCACAAGTGTGTACAGTTGTAAAGCTTAACATTTAATATATCTTTTTACTCAGCGTGACATCTTTTATATTTTACTAAAAAATTGGGTTCGTTTTTTTTTTTTTTTTTTTTTTTTTTTTTTTTTGGGGGGGGGGGGGAATTGCTGCACAAATACCACAAGACATAAAAAAGATTGCAACAACCACCATTTTATTCTCTAGGGCCTTTGCTTAACAAAAAAAAAATTACACATACACACACTTAGACACGGGCACAATTTTAGTTTTTTCAGGTATTTATCAAACATATTCAATCTCTAGTTCTATAATGGATATGGGCTGAAAGTGCACACTCTTTGGTTTAATTTGGGGGAAAGTACATCCAAACTGGAGGAAGGGTTTAGGAATTACAGCTCTTAAGAGTAGTCATCCCCTTTTTTTTCAAGGGACCAAATGTAATTGGAAAATTGAATATAATCACAAATAAAATGTTCATTTTTAATATTTTGTTGAGAATCCTTTACTGGCAATGACTGCCTGAAGTCTGGAACCCATGGACATGACCAAAACTGGGTTTCCTCCTTTCTGATGCTTTGCCTGAAGTCTGGAACCCATGGACATTACCAAAGACTGGGTTTCCTCCTTTCTGATGCTTTGCCTGAAATCTGGAACCCATGGACATGGCCAAAACTGGGTTTCCTCCTTTCTGATGCTTTTCCTGAAGTCTGGAACCCATGGACATGACCAAAACTGGGTTTCCTCCTTTCTGATGCTTTGCCTGAAGTCTGGAACCCATGGACATGACCAAAACTGGGTTTCCTACTTTCTGATGCTTTGCTTGAAGTCTGGAATCCATGGACATGGCCAAAACTGGGTTTCCCTCCTTTCTGATGCTTTGCCTGAAGTCTGGAACCCATGGACCTGACCAAAACTGGGTTTCGTCCTTTCTGATGCTTTGCCTGAGGTCTAGAACCATGGGACATGACCAAAACTTGGTTTCCTCCTTTCTGATGCTTTGCCTGAAGTTTGGAACCCATGGGCATGACCAAAGACTGGGTTTCCTCCTTTCTGATGCTTTGCCTGAAGTCTGGAACCCATGGGCATGACCAAAGACTGGGTTTCCTCCTTTCTGATGCTTTGCCAGGCTCTAACTGCAGCTGTCTTCAGTTGTTCTTTGTTTTGTGGGTCTTTCTGCCTTTTTAGTTTTGCCTTCAGCAAGTGAAATGCATGCTCAATTGGGTTGAGATCAGGTGATTGACTTGGCCATTGCAGAATATTCCACTTCTTTTCCTTCACAAACTCCTGGGTTGCTTTTTGCAGTGTGTTTTTGGATCATTGTCCATCTGTACTGTGAAGCGCCGTCCAATCACCTTTTGCTGCATTTGGCTGAATCTGGGCTGACAGTATATCTGTAAACACGGCAGAATTCATCCGGCTGCTTCTGTCTTCTGTCACATCATCAATGACCCAGTGCCACTGGAAGCCATGCATGCCCATGCCATCACCCTGCCTCCACCATGTTTTACAGATGACGTTGTGTGCTTTGGATCATGAGCTGTTGCAAGTCTTTGCCACACTTTTTTCTTCCTGTCGTTTTGGTACAGATTCATCTTAGTATCATCCGTCCAAAGAATGCTTTTCCAGAACTGCTCTGGGCAAAGTCTAATCTGGCTTTTCTACTCTTCAAGCTTATGAATGGTTTGCACCTTGTGGTGAACCCTCTGTATTTGCTCTCGTGAAGTCTTCTCTTGATTGTAGACTTCTAGAATGATACGCCCACCTCCTGGAGAGTGTCCTTCACTTGTCTGGATGTTGTGAATGGGATTTTCTTTACCATAGTGAGGATCCTGCGATCATCCACCACTGTTGTCCTCCGTGGACCTCCATGCCTTTTTATGTTGCTGAGCTCACCAGTGCGTGAGCACACCTGGCCATGAAACAGCTTTTGATTCAATTGTCCAATTACTTTTTGGTCCCTTGAAAAAGGGGGATGGCTACTCTTAAGAGCTGCAATTCCTAAACCCTTCCTCCAGTTTGGATGTACTTACACTCAAATTAAACCTGAGAGTGCGCACTTTCAGCCCATATCCATTATAGAACTATAGCTTGAATATGTTTTGGTAAAAACCTGGAAAAAATAACTAAAATTGTCCAAATATATATGGACCTAACTGTGTTCAGCCTTGTCTGCTGTTTACATTGCCAGTGTGGACATTTAGTAAATATACTACTTCAGCTGTTGGTGTCCGGGAAAGAAGCTCTTCACTATGAATCTCCTGGCTTTGAGATTCTACAACAAATTGCTTTCAGACACAGGGATCTTCTAGTGGAAGCAGAAGCTGCTGTGATGGCTCCATGGGTCAGTTCATCCTAAACTATGCCTTTCCTCCCCTGAAGATTCTGTCTCATTTGTGTCTCAGGAGTTGAGATTGAGGGACCTTCCAGTGATGCTCATTGTTGGCATGGAAGGTGGTGCTCCCCCTAATAAGACACGTGATGGACACTCTATATGTTCTTCCAGTAGCTTAGTTTGGATCAGCATTTGGCTCTCAGCAGCAACACACATCAGGTTTCCCCTCTTGGTTAAAAGACAGTTGGCCTCTTTTTCCCCAGTTATCGTTGAAGGATTTTCCCATGTAACCCCCCCCTGTTCATTTTTGTGTAACTCTCTCATCGGATTTGAATTTGACGCTCTCCATGCTAGAAAAAAATGCCAGTTCCCTTCTCTACTGTCACCCACATGGTGGTTTTCTTGTAGCTATCCCCATCTGTGAGTCAAATGTCTGTGCTGGCAGCCTTATCCTGTAAGAACCTTTCTGGTTCTGTTGAGGGCCATGGTTGTGTTTGAGGTCCAGAACTTCCTTCCTATCTAAAGTAGTTTAGGCCTTTCACCTCAGCCAGGACATGACTGTTCTGTCTGGCTCCAGCTCATCAAATGATATTTTGTCTATTTCCTGGATCACAGCTACTGTTTCCTTCAAAGACTGGTTTCCTTTTGTCTTTCTGGAAGGTCTCCATAAGGGTTTCTCATTCCAACAGCTTAGGCTGTTGTTCATGCTTCTAGTTTAAGATTCAGGTTTCACCCTTTCCTATCAAGACACACTGTTAAAACTGTGAAGTCCTCTTGAGCTTTTCATTATCTGGTTCCTGTTTCTCAAATCTACAAGGCTGCCACTTGGTCATCCCTACACGTCCTACAGGATAAACGTTCAAGCCTCATTTGATGCTGGCTTCGGGCGTTGGGTCCTTCAGGAGGCTCTTGAAGCTGCAGGTTGTCCCCTGTTCTTTTGTCTCCTTGGGCCTGTTAACATTGCTTGCTGTGCTTCTACCCGTCTGTTGGAGTGCCTTTTTGGATGTCCCAAAGGTTAAGACTTCTTCTATCCCTCAATGGACAAGAACAGACAAAGGATGTTTTGTATCTTCCATAAAATCCTTTGCAACCATTAAAAACATAGGTCCCACCCCTCTGTTTTTATGATCATGCCGTCTGTACAGCTTTATAAAACTGAGGCACGCTGAAAGTAGGAGGGGCTATTCTGGGCTGGCCTCCAGTTTTGTTTGCCAATGTCTGATCCTCCTTCAGGTGGCAGAATAACTCTAAAGTTTATGTCCTTGTCCTTCAATACACTCCAAGAATAGGATTTTAATAGGTGTACAAATAGCTTATTAGTAATATACCAAACACACTGAAGGACGTGAAGGTGGTGGGGTAGACGTGGTGTGAATGAAGGTCATACACCCTCCTGGAGGGTTGGAGAATTCCTGATCGTATGTAGAAGAGTTCAAGAAAAGGGAAACGGCCCAGAAGAAGTTGGGGTGGTGTCTGCTGAGGAAAAGAGGCATGAGCCATAAAATGAAGCAGTTGGGGGAGTGCATGTTCAGAAGGAGCTTTATATCCATGATTCTCTGATTGTAAAGTCTCCTTTGTGTCAAAGCTTTCTTTATTTCTCCATGTCACAGCACTTTCTTCCTTCATCTCTTCTCTTCTCCTCCACAGCCGGAATGTTTACCACTCAGACTGGGAGTTCCCTGATTGGATCCCACGTAAAGACAGTTGGCACTTCCTGTCCTGCCAGTGAGTACCTTGTGACTGTGACCCACAAATCCCCCCCTCCTTTTTCCTCTTCTTTCTTTTTCCCCGCTTCTTTCTTTTTTTTTTTTTCTTTTTTCTCTTTTTTCCTGCTTCTTTTTTTTTTTCTTTTTTCTCTTTTTTCCTGCTTCTTTCTTCTTTCTTTTTTTTCTTTTTTTCCTGCTTCTTTCTTTTTTTCTCTTTTTCCTGCTTCTTTTTTTTTCTTCCTGCTTCTTTCTTTTTTTTTTTTTTTCTTTCTTTTTCTTTTTCTTCCTTTTTCTTCTTTCTTTTTTTTTCCTGCTTCTTTCTTTTTTCTTTTTCTTCCTGCTTCTTTCTTTTTCTTTTTCTTCCTGCTTCTTTCTTCTTTTTTTTTTTTTTCTTTTTTCTTCCTGCTTCTTTCTTTTTCTTTTTTCTTCCTGCTTCTTTCTTTTTCTTTTTTCTTCCTGCTTCTTTTTTTTTCTTCTTTTTTTTTCCTGCTTCTTTTTTCCTTCCTCTCTCTCCTCTTTCTCACCATGCTAATAGATATCAGGAAAAATACATGACCACATGTGAATAAGAAAAAGAAACCTCTAAATGTGGGAGGAGCCTCCTAAAAAGATGGAAATTTGCTAGGAAAGGATATTGGTGTGGTGATTGGCAGCTAGTGGGGGGGACAGAAGTCTTGTAGCAACATTCATTGCAGATTATGAGATTTATCTTTCAGTATCCACTAGAACAAAAGGATGTGCCAGTGATCTGGATGGGAAATAAGGATGCACTTTGGCACAGATTCTCTGGTCATTGGCTGTCTTGGAAGGCGCATGGGCGCAGCCGTTGTGGTGACGGTCATTGTAGGGGTGGGGTGGCGGTTGTGGTGATGGTCACTGTATGGGTGGGGTGGCGGTTTTGGTGACGGTCACTGTAGGTATGGGGGTGGAGTGTGGTAGCTGTGGGTGCAGCAGTCTTGGAAGGTGTGCGCACAGCAGTCTTGGTGGGGGTGGCAGTTGTGGTGGCGGTCATTGTAGGTGTGGAGGTCTTGGTGGATATGGGTGGGACGGTCAGTGTAGATGTCGTCATGTCATAAACTGAATGTCCTGTTTGTTTTTTCCAATACAGGGAAGCCGAGCCTTACCTCCCTCTCCAGCCCTCCTCCCCTCCATTCTCCATCAGACGGGAAGGAATCAAGGAAGAGGCAGAGCCTTGTGTCCTGAACAGGTGTGTTTAATTCCTATAGGTGTGGCTTCATCCCAGTGCTCCTCCTTCTAATGAATGGGTGTCATGAGTGTTCAGTTGGTGCTTATTTTTTTGGTATATAGTGCTATTGTGTGATTGCTCCGCCCACCTTATTACCCCCACATCTTTCTCCTCTCTGCAGGTTCCAATCTCTCCCCCCTCACCCTGAGCGCTGGGACTTTGCCTTCTTTGTGGGGGGCCCTGTATGGTCCATGGAATGGTGCCCGACCCCGGCTGGCTCCGGGGCCTGTCAGTACGTGGCTGTGTACTGTCATCGTGGGATGGATGACCGGCATAGCCTGCATGTGACGCACAGCCGACCGGCACTGCTCCAGATCTGGAACCTGGGAGCCCTGAATGTGGAGAGCGGGTGAGTGTTAACGTGATTGGCCCTGACATCTGAGTGTCCTGGAATACTTTGTATATCAGCTTATTCTACCCAGCAGCCCCAACAATTTTATTTTTCTCCTGCAGTAGTGAAAAAAAAACTTTCAGTTCATACTACAGCTAATTTTTTGGATCTGGTGATGAGCTAATCAATTTTTGTTCAGCCTCTCTACTATATCCTCAATGAACACAGAATGGTTCTTTATATTTGCTGGGTGGACTGTTGTTAAAGTGGTTGTAAAGGCTTGGCCCTCGATCCGGCGCTGCGCCAAAGAGCGCCAGGCAGGCCCTCGATCAGCGCGCGCCAGAAGAGCGCCGGGCAGGCCTTTCTCGATCAGTGGCCCAGAAGTTTGGGCCAAGCGGGCATGCGTGCCCCTGTAGTAAGTCATCCGCAACATGAGACAAAGGGGAGAGCCTTGGGAATAAATGGGAAGGATCCGAAGCGTGGAGTCTCTTTAAAACCAATGTCACTGGTAGGTATTGGTAATGCGCCTGGAGATAAGGGGAGGAGCTCAATAGAGGCATCATTCAAATTAATAGAGAACAAGGGAGCGCCCGGGCAGGAGACATCATATAGTTACATGAGACAGGCTTTGCCCATCCAATAACACAGAGATAGAGCGGAGCCGGGCAATAGAGGCCTCCATCAGGCGCCTGGGAGGAAGAGCGCCGGGCAGGCCCTCCATCAGGCGACTGGGAGGAAGAGCTGCCAATAGGGCAGGCCCATTGATCAGGCGACCGAGAAGAGCGCCGGCAGGGCCTCCATCAGGCGCCCGGGGAGAAGACGCCGGGAGGCCCTCGATCAGGCGCCCTGAGAAGAGCGCGTGGAGACGGGCAGGCCCTCGCAATAGAGGCATCCCATTGACGAGCGCCGGGCAGGACCTGTGATCAGGCGCTTCCATTGAGAAGAGCGACTGGGAAGGCCCTCGATCAGGCATCCCGACGAAGAGACGGGGAGGAAGGCCCTGTGATAGAGGCATCTTCCGATTGAAGAGCGCCAGGACCTGTGCAGACCTGTGCCCTCGATCAGGCCATTGAAGAGCGCCACTGGGAGGAAGGCCCTGTGAATAGAGGCATCTTCCATTGACATGGGAAGAGCTGGGAGGCAGGCCCTGTGAATAGAGGCATCTTCCAGACAGGGAGACGGGGAGGCAGGCCCTCGATCACTTCCATTGACATGGAGTTCAGTGGAATAGAGGCATCTTCCATTGATATGGAGACAGGGAGGAAGACCTGTGGAATTGAGGCATCTTCCATTGTAGTCAGTACCTTGTGGGATCCAGGGATCACATGGAGACAAAGGGGAGAGCCTTGTGGAATAAATGGATCATCCAAAAATTCCATTTTGACTTCATAAGCTGGCCATACACTATACAATCTAATTTTCAGATTTACCAAAGGTGGTGTATTATGTAATTCTATATTACAAACTTAAAAAGTCCATTGATTTGGTATCAGATCAGAAGGGCCCTTGCAGTAGATAGTTGATAGTAGTTCTAAAGGAGACTGTACAGTCAGAAAGTGTAGGGCATGGTTGGCTTTTTTGTAGCGCTCACACAGTGTGGAGTCCTGAAAGGAGATATGTGATTGGTGGGTGTGGAATATAAAGGAGAGTTCCGCTTCTTCTATTAATATGATGTATTACTGTGACCTTGTTCATTCTGATTGGTTCCTCAGCTGCGAGTCCCTGGCGTCTTTCTCTTATGGGCTGGCGGCGGATGAAGGCTGCATCTGGGACATGAAGTTCTGCCCCAGTGGAGGGTGGGAGCTCCCATCTACCCCCAGGAAGGTGAGTTTGGAGCAGTCTCATGGGTGGGCCTTTTACACAGGTATGGGGGTGTGGCCTCTCTTGTCTTCCCCCCCCCCACCCCCATAACTGACCACGCTTGTGGTTCGCTTATTAAGATGCAGCAAATTAGGATAAAAAAAAAAAATTTGCATACTTTGGGGGAGCCCCTCTCCTCATTAAAACCAAAATCCAAGGGAAAGCGTGTTTTGGAAGTTTTAATAACATGGAAGGGTTGGAACTCTTTTGTCTGTTTGTCATTTTTAGGAAGTGAGGGTTCTCTCCCCAACCCAATTTCTGTCTTTATTGGGTGTCGAGCAGGAAGTGAGGCAACCCCCCCGACCCAATTCCTGTTTTTTGGGTGTCAGAACGAGAAGTGAGGCACCCATATTCCCAACCGGTTCCTGTCTTATTGGGTGTCAGAGCAAGGCTTGAGGAAAACCCCATCCAAACCCGGTTCCTGTTTTATGGGGGGGCTGGAGCAGGGAGTGTGGCACCCCCAACCCAGTCCCTGTTTTATTGGGTGTCAGAGCAGAAAGTGAGGCAACCCCCCCCCCCCCAAAACCAACTCCTTCTTACTGGGTTTTCGGAGTAGGGAGTGAGGCAAACCCCCCCAAACCCATTCCCTTCTTATTGGCTGTCAGAGCAGGGAGTGTGGCTGCCATATCCCAATTCCTGACTTATTGGGTGTCGGAGCAGAAAGTGACACTACCCACCCCCCCCCCCCTAACCCAATGCCTGTGTTGTTGGGTGTCAGAACAGAAAGTGAGGCAGACGCCCCCCCCCCCCAAAAAAAAAAAAAAAAAATTCTGTCTTACTGGGTTTTTGGAGCAGGGAGTGAGGCAACCCCCCCAAATCCAGTTCCTGTCTTGGGTGTCAGAGCAGGAGTGAGGCAACCCCCCCCCCCCCCCCAACCCAGTTCCCTTCTTATTGGCTGTCAGGAATTGAGATGGTATCCTCACCCCCCCCCCTGCTCCATCTTATTTGGTGTTAGAGCAGAAAGTGACACTACCCACCACCCTCCAACCCAATTCCTGTGTTGTTGGGTGTCAGAGCAGGGAGTGAGGCAACCCCCCAAAAATCCAGTTCCTGTCTTATTGGGTGTCGGAGCAGACAGTGAGGCAACCCCCCCCCCCCCCCTTTTTATTGGCAAAAGTGAGGCTACCAACCCAATTCCTGCCTTATTGGGTGTCGGAGCAGGGAGTGAGGCAACCCCCCAAAATCCAGTCCCTGTTTTATTGGGTGTCGGAGCAGGGAGTGAGGGCAACCCCCCCCAAAGTCCCTGTCTTATTGGGTGTCGGAGCAGGGAGTGAGGGCAACCCCACCAAAATCCAGTCCCCCCCACCAAATGTCTTATTGGGTGTCAGAGCAGGGAAGTGAGGCAACCCCCAAAATCCAGTTCCTGTCTTACTGGGTGTCGGAGCAGGAAGTGAGGCAACCCCCCACAAAACAGAATTCCTGTCTTATTGGGTGTCGGAGCAGGGAGTGAGGCAACCCCCCCCCCCCCCCAACCCAGTTCCTTCTTATTGGGTGTCAGGAGCAGGAAGTGAGGGCCCCCCCGTCCCATTTCCTGTCTTATTGGGTGTCGGTGCAGGAAGTGAGGGCCCCCCCACCAGAATTCCTGTCTTATTGGGTGTCTGAGCAGGAAGTGAGGGCCCCCCCACCAGAATTCCTGTCTTATTGGGTGTCGGAGCAGGAAGTGAGGCAACCCCCCAAAAGAATTCCTGTCTTATTGGGTGTCGGAGCAGGGAGTGAGGGCAACCCCCCCAAAATCCAGTCCTGTCTTATTGGGTGTCAGAGCAGGGAGTGAGGCAACCCCCCAAAATCCAGAATTCCTGTCTTATTGGGTGTCGGAGCAGGGAGTGAGGGCCCCCCCACAAAACCAATTCCTTTCTTACTGGGTTTTTGGAGCAGGAAGTGAGGGCCAACCCCCCCCCAAACCCAGTTCCCTGTTATTGGCTGTCAGAGCAGGAGGTCCGTCCCATTTCCTGTCGTCTTGGGTGTCGGTGCAGGAAGTGAGGGCCCCCCCAACAGAATTCCTGTCTTATTGGGTGCTCGGAGCAGAAAGTGAGGGCCCCCTAACAGAATTCCTGTCTTATTGGGTGTCTGTGCAGGAAGTGAGGGCCCCCACCAGAATTCCTGTCTTATTTGGGTGTCTGAGCAGGAAGTGAGGGCCCCCACCAGAAATTCCTGTCTTATTGGGTGTCGGAGCAGGAAGTGAGGGCCCCCCAACAGAATTCCTATCTTATTGGGTGTCGGTGCAGGAAGTGAGGGCCCCCACCAGAATTCCTGTCTTATTGGGTGTGTCGGAGCAAAGAGTGAGGCTGTCACTTATCCCCCCCCCCCCCCCCCCCCAAGCCCAACCTCTAGTCCCCATGCCCGTGCCGACACGTCTGACTTTTCACAGCCACAGGACACAGTGCTGTCTGTGCCTCCTGCTGAGATCAACCTCATCTCCCACCCCCTGCGGGGCACAAGAACTCCAAGATCTCATTACAAAATCATAAAAATAAAATATTTCTGGTCTCCATCACAGACGCATACTCCATTGATATTCTGGGATTCCCCATTAGAGGGAGCTCTTGTGTTTTGAGTGCCTTGTCCTGCCTGCTGCTGGTATTGGCCACACAGGGAGTGCATTGTTTTCAGTTGGAGGAATAGATTGTGAGGAGGAGCAGTAAAGCACAACCACCTTGTAGTGCCAAAAAGCATATGTAATGAGCGAATATGACAGCTCATAAATGACTGTGAGTGGATGAAGGGTTTTCAGAACATTGACACGCATTGGCTGAACACCATTGATCATACAGATTGTTCCAACTTGTTGCCCAAGATTGACGCTTTAACTCTCTATATTCCTGCAGGACTCGCAGATGGCCAGACTGGGACTCTTGGCGGCCGCCTTTTTCCAGCGGCCATGTTGAAATCTTCAGCCTACCTCACCCGGAATCGCTTCAAGCTCACCGAAAATCCCAGGTAAAAGGTAGGAAGCAACCGACCCCACTCAGTCCCGTCCCAGTGCCGCCCGTCGGGAGTGTTCACATGAGGAGGGTTACAGCACAGTTGTGCGAGAATGGCCGAGGCTGCCATGTTGGTTGGCTGGAACTGGATTGGACTCAGGTTTGAGGTGGAGGAGGTGGCTGTGTAGAGTTTGCACCAACTTCTCAACCTGACTCCCAGTCCAGGTCCCCCTCTGTGTGGGAGCTGTATAGGATATGCAGAGGTCTCCTTGCCAAGATTGTGCGGCCTTAAAGTCTTACTAAACCCCAACAGTACAATCAGTCTGTATATGCAGGAAAGCATGCTTGTTATACTCCCTGTGGAACCTAAGGGGTAATCCTCTGCATTGTGTAAAAATGCTGTTTGATCCTTTCTTCTCTGATCCTCCCCTTCTACTGTCCCCCTCTTATCTCCTGCTAAGACAACGTGTGGAGTCACTCTAGCAATACACACCACCACTGAGCATATGCAGAGAGGTTTTTTTTTTTTTTTTTATTCTTGAGAGAGTGCATGTGATCGGCACAGGGCCAATCCGCACTGTCCAGACAGAGGTCAGGCGTCCTGCATCCCCTAGAGCAAAATTAAAACTCCTCCTACAAGCTTTAACCAGTGCTTTGCTGGACACTGATAAAAGTCACAAGACTGCTATATACTGCTGATGAGAAAAGGTATTTAGCAGTTTATATTTACTAAAATAATTGCATTTCCATGTTCTGTGTACTGTGGGAGAGCGGATATAGTGAATGCAGGGTCCGGGGAGAGCGGATATAGTGAATGCAGGGTCCGGGGAGAGCGGATATAGTGAATGCAGGGTCCGGGGAGAGCGGATATAGTGAATGCAGGGTCCGGGGAGAGCGGATATAGTGATTGCGGGGTCCTTCGGAGAGCGGATATAGTGAATGCAGGGTCGGGGATGAGCGGATATAGTGAATGCAGGGTCCGGGGAGAGCGGATATAGTGAATGCAGGGTCCGGGGAGAGCGGATATAGTGAATGCAGGGTCCGGGGGGAGAGCGGATATAGTGAATGCAGGGTCCGGGGAGAGCGGATATAGTGAATGCAGGGTCCGGGGGAGAGCGGGGCTTATAGTGAATGCAGGGTTCGGGGAGAGCGGATATAGTGAATGCAGGGTCCGGGGAGAGGGATATAGTGAATGCAGGGTCCGGGGAGAGGGATATAGTGAATGCAGGGTCCGGGGAGAGCGGATATAGTGAATGCAGGGTCCGGGAGAGAGTCGGATATAGTGAATGCAGGGTCCGGGGAGAGCGGATATAGTGAATGCAGGGTCCGGGAGAGCGGATATAGGTGAATGGAGGGTCCGGGGAGAGCGGATATAGTGAATGCAGGGTCCGGGGAGAGCGGATATAGTGATTGCGGGGGTCCGGGAGAGAGCGGATAATAGTGAATGCGGGGGGGGTCCAGGGAGACCGGATATAGTGAATGCAGGGGTCCAGGGAGACCGGATATAGTGAATGCAGGGTCCTGGGAGAGCGGATATAGTGAATGCGGGGTCCGGGGCCAGAGCGGATATAGTGAATGCGGGGTCCGGGGTTTATTAATACTTTAAAGTTGAATTCCAAGCAGATGGCTACATACACAGATAAACAACAATGTCTGTCCATCCAGTCCTGAGATTTAAACAGCTCTGCCATACAGCATAGCCTATCTAGTAGGGCAGGAGACTTGTGTTTTTTTTTTTTTCCTCTGCCGTTGTTCTGTAAACAGTTTGGCCCTCCCCAGCCAGTGATTGGACAGAGAAAGGAGAAGCAGCATATGATGAGCATCATTTTGGTCACTTTGCTCTCTGCTTCTATCAGCATTCTCTTGGTGTGCGTAACTGTGTGGCTCCTTTTTTGCTGCTTCCGGGGAGAACCAGTCTGAGCCCTGCTGTGCAGGGGGATTGCAAGGGGTTTATACCAAATCACTATTTCACTGCTTGTATTTTATTAAAAGTGACATTTTAAGGCTCGTTCATGCATAGTGCGGTGACTGTCAACTTTTTTCTTTCTTTGATAAATGCTGGTCACCATTGGGGCACATAGAAAACCATTTTAGACCTCACTGCAGCCAAAAACTGACTCTTCCAGACACACTAAAACAAAGCATTGAGCATGCATGATCAGTGTGAGTGGGTACTAAACCCAGGACCCCCCGCATTCACTATATCTGGTCTCCCAGGACCCCGCATTCACTATATCTGGTCTCCCCAGACCCTGCATTCACTATATCTGGTCTCCCCAGACCCTGCATTCACTATATCTGGTCTCCCAGGACCCCGCATTCACTATATGCTGGTCTCCCAGGACCCCGCGTTCGCTATATCCGCTCTCCCCGGGACCCTGCATTCACTATATCCGCTCTCCCGGACCCCGCGTTCGCTATATCCGCTCTCCCCGGACCCCGCGTTCGCTATATCCGCTCCCTCCCCGGACCCCGCGTTCGCTATATCCGCTCTCCCGGACCCCGCGGTTCGCTATGCGCTCCCCCGGACCCCGCTGTTCGCTATATCCGCTCTCCCCGGGACCCCGCGTTCGCTATATCCGCTCTCCCCGGGACCCCGCGTTCGCTATATCCGCTCTCCCGGACCCCGCGTTCGCTATATCCGCTCTCCCCGGACCCCGCGTTCGCTATATCCGCTCTCCCCGGACCCCGCGTTCGCTATATCCGCTCTCCCCGGACCCCGCGTTCGCTATATCCGCTCTCGCCCGGACCCTGCGTTCGCGGATATATCCGCTCTGCCCGGGGTCTCCTGCGTTCGCTATATCCGCTCTCCCCGGACCCCGCGTTCGCTATATCCGCTCTCCCCGGACCATCGCGCGTTCGCTATATCCGCTCTCCCGGACCCGCCGTTCGCTATATCCGCTCTCCCCGGGACCCCCGTTCGCTATATCCGCTCTCCCCCGGACCCCGCTTGTTCGCTATATCCGCTCTCCCCGGACCCCAGTGTTCGCTATTTCCGCTCTCCCCGGACCCCGCGTATTGACGCTATATCCGCTCTCCCCCGGACCCCGCGTTCGCTATGTCCGCTCTCCCCCCGGACCCCGCGTTCGCTATGTCCTCTCTCCCCCGGACCCCGCGTTCGCTATGTCCGCTCTCCCCGGTGTGCGTAACTATGTCCGCTCTCCCCGGACCCCCGCGTTTCGCTATGTCCGCTCTCCCCGACCCCGCGTTCGCTATGTCCGCTCTCCCCGGACCCCGCGTTCGCTATGTCCGCTCTCCCGGACCCCGCGTTCGCTATGTACGCTCTCCCCGGACCCCGCGTTCGCTATGTCCGCTCTCCCCGGACCCCGCGTTCGCTATGTCCGCTCTCCCCGGACCCCGCTTCGCTATGGTCCGCTCTCCATTTTAGGACCCCGCGTTCGCTATGTCCGCTCTCCCCGGGCACCCCGCGTTCGCTATGTCCGCTCTCCCCGGACCCCGCGTTCGCTATGGACCGCTCTCCCCGGACCCCGCGTTCGCTATGTCCGCTCTCCCCGGACCCCGCGTTCGCTATGTCCGCTCTCCCGGACCCCGCGTTCGCTATGTCCGCTCTCCCCGGACCCCGCGTTCGCTATGTTCGCTCTCCCCGGACCCCGCGTTATCGCTATGTCCGCTCTCCCCCGGACCCCGCGAGTTCGCTATGTCCGCTCTCCCCGGACCCCCGCGTTCGCTATGTCCGCTCTCCCCGGACCCCGCGTTCGCTATGTCCGCTCTCCCCGGACCCCGTGCGTTCGCTATATCCGCTCTCCCCGGACCCCGCTGTTCGCTATATTCGCTCTCCCCGGACCCCGCGTTCGCTATTGTCCGCTCTCCCCGGACCCCGCGTTCGCTATGTCCGCTCTCCCGGACCCCGCGTTCGCTATATCCGCTGCTCACCCGGACCCCGCGTTCGCTATATCCGCTCTCCCCGGACCCCAGCGTTCGCTATATCCCTCCCCGCTCTCCCCGGACCCCGCGTTCGCTATATCGCGCTCTCCCAGGACCCCGCGTTCGCTATATTCCGCTCTCCCCGGACCCCGCGTTCGCTATATCCGCTCTCCCCGGGGACCCCTCGCGTTCGCTATATCCGCTCTCCTCCCGGACCCCGCGTTCGCTATATCCGCTCTCCCCGGACCCCGCGTTCGCTATATCCGCTCTCACCCGGACCCGCGTTCGCTATATCCGCTCTCCCACAGTACACATAACATGGAAAACATTATTTTAGTAAATATAAACTGCTCAATATCTTTTTTTGCAGTTAGAGCAGTCTTGTGACTTCAATCAGTGTCCAGCAAAGCACTGGTTAAAGCGTGTAGGAGTCTTCTTCTTTTTTTTTTTTTTTTTTTCTCTGCCCTGACTGTCCTATGAGGCTGCATAACCCCTGTCTGGACAGTGCTGATTGGCCCTGTGTTGATCACATGCACCCTCCCAAAGAAGAAAAAGGTACATAAATGTACAACAGTGGTCTTCAAACTGCGGCCCGGTGGTTGCTTTGCCTTTTACATAGCCCTTGGAGCACTCTTCTCCCACTGATAGCAATGAACGGGGCACTGCTGTTCCCACAGGGGCGGCAGTGAGGGGGTCACTGCTGCTCCCACAGGGGCGGCAGCGACTGGGCACTGCTGCTCCTCCCTAATGTCAAAATTTCACTGCTTACTTCCACTGACTCCAGGACAATCAACTCCCACTGGCCACAATCCGGCCCCCCCACAGTCTGAAGGACTGTAATCTGGCCCTTTTTTTTTTAGAAAATTAGGGGACCCCTGTCCCTGAAGCCAGCTACTTTGTAACCTCAATTGGTATTTTTTGTTGGCTACATGGAAGGCTACAGCAGTAACATGCTGAAGTATTGCTATGAAAAAGGCCTTCAGCCGAAACGCGTCGATGGATCGACTTGGGTACAGTTGGCCTGCCCATACATGGATAGAAATTCGGCCAACTCGGCAATGTTAATCCATGTATGGCCGACTTTTAACCCTTCAACTTAAACTTCAGATCAGAGCTAGTGATTAAAGTGTATCTTGTG